TTTTTTTAAAGAAAGAGAAAAGGTGGGTAGACTTTGTCCTTGAGCCTGTGGAGATTGTGTCTTTAGCCCTTGGGAGTTTGCAGCTCAAAAGCCCGTGCCCTTCCCTGACAGATGGCACCCGATGCCAGCAGCACTGGACTTAGGGAGGCAGCCGAGTCCAAGAGCAATGGAGACCTGGGCTGGATGGAGGACAGGAGACGGGCGGAGGCAGTGGGGAGAGGTGGAGAGGGAGCATGTGTCCTGTGCCCAGCGGAGCTAACAGAGCACCTGGACTTGGATCTGATGCGTTCCCATCCTCTAACACAAGCTCTCACCACACCAAGGCAGCTCTGGCACGCCACCAGGGTGTCACACAGAAGACCAGAGTGTTTCAGACCTCTGTCTTTGAGGTGAGGATGTGAGAGCCAAGGCCGAGTTCCAGCTGGCCAGAGGGAATGAGGGGCGGGTTCTTGGGAGGGCAGCCGTGGCTGGGGACACGGATTTGGAAGCAGAGGCTGACCGTGTGGTGATGGGTGATTGTGTGGGGGTGGGGCAGGGTAGACAGGGTTCTGAGGAGAGAGCAGGGGAGGCCTCTGGGAACACAGTGTTCTCAGGAAGCAGCAGTTCCTGTGGTGAATCTTGGCTTCTTGCCCCCAACAAACTTCCTGATTCTGGACTGCGTGGCCTCAGTGCTGCACCGTCCCCTGCCGCACCTCTGTGGAGACCTACTGTGTGTGGGCACTGTGCAGCCGGAGGCCCTGCCCGCCTCCCTTGGGGCAGATACTGTGCTTCCTTGTGCAGATGAGCACCCAGAGGTGAGGCGCAGAGGCTGATCCCCACCCGAAGCTCCTCATGGTCAGGGCTGCTCCTCAGAGGGGTTGGCTTGCTTTTCGCGGCAGCACAGTCCCCAAACTGGGGTGTCAGGGGCCTGCATTCTTATCCCAGGGGAGTCACTGAGTACCTGGATGTCTAGGGCAGTGGTCGGCAAACTCATTAGTCAACAGAGCCAAATATCAATAGTACAATGATTGAAATTTCTTTTGAGAGACAAATTTTTTAAACAAACTTCTTCTAACACCACTTCTTCAAAATAGACTTGCCCAGGCCATAGTATTTTGTGGAAGAACCACACTCAAGGGGCCAAAGAGCCGCATGTGGCTCTCAAGCTGCAGTTTGCTGACCACGGGTCTAGAGGAAGGCATGTCCCTTCTTTGGGGGTCAGTGTTTTGGCCTGCAAACAAAAATGTTGGCTCTCAGAGTTTCCTTCAGCATTAGGGTTCTGAAGTTCCATGTCAGGACGCAGTTGGTGCGGCATGGCAGGTGAAGGAGGAGCAGAGGGGGCACAGCACTGTCAAGGGGTCTGGTATGTGCTCAGGGTGGTGGGAGGAAGTGGCTCTGATGGTCCAAGACCCTCTCTGACCTTTCACCTGGGAGTGTCTGCTCCCCGCTAGGATATTCCTCACCCCCTGCCCTCCAACCTCCCTTTGCACAATCAGCAGATTCCTGAAAAGATGCCAGGAAATCGGTTTTGGGGTAATCATACCCTGTTCTGAATGCCCAGTGGGGAATGCTGTGTTGAAATACATCTCCCGTAAGTCCTTTCATAAAGTAACCGCCCCCCACCCCTGGACTTCCCCTACCCCAGCTCCAGAACCGCCCCTTCCTCCGCCCCCGGTGCACAGGTGGGAGGTTTCTCTAGAATGCTCCCACTTCCAGCATTCATGTTGCTCCCCTCCAGGCTCCCTTGGGTGGGAGGTGGAAGCCAGGCTGGGGGACCCCCATCTCAAAGGACATAAAGGACAAGTAATGAGAAGTTTGCCCTTTGCCAGCAGGACCTGAGGCCCTGCAGCCGGTGAGTCACAGGAGTGAGTCACCCTGCATTGTGAGTGCAGATGATCCCAGGAGGAAGCATCGGGCAGTGGGAAAAGTTGGCTTTTCAAAGCTGCTCTGGGCATGTGAGTTTACCTGTGTGTACGTGTGTGTGGTGCGTGTGTGTGTGTGTGTGTGTGTGTGGTGTGTGGTGTGTGCATGTGTGTGTGTGTGCAGTGTGCTTGTGTTTGTCCTTGCATGCATGTGTGTACGTGGGTGCTTGGACTCCCTTGAGTGTACATGGTGCAGCACGTATCGGGAAAATTACCATTTCCTAACACAGTTGGGGTAGAAATGACTGTCCCTCCATCACAAGCTTGCGTCTTTTTAAAAATATATATATTTTATTGAAATTTTTACAGAGAGGAAGGGAGAGGGATAGAGAGCTAGAAACACCAATGAGAAACATTGACCAGCTGCCTCCTGCACACCCCCTACAGGGGATGTGCCCAAAAGCAAGGTATATGCCCTTGACCGGAATGAAACCTGGGACCTTTGAGTCCACAAGCCGACGCTCTATCCACCGAGCCAAACCGGTTTGGCACAAGCTTAAGTCTTAAAGGTAACAGGGCCGTGAGCAGTACAGGCATCAGCCTCCGGACCCATCCTCAGTGGTACCAGGGGATGGAGGGCTTGTCCACTCAGCACTGCATCCACCCCACTCGCTCTTCCTGGGGGCCGCCCTTCACCTACTTCCCGTCAATTTTGTCCCTACAGTGTGTCCCCTGCCCCTGCACCTGGACACAGTTTACAAGGCCAGGATTGGGCACAGAACTGGGAAATTGGAATTGGGACTAAGATTCCATCCTCGGCCCAACGGTCCCCCTGACCAGAGCCATATGAAGATGAGGCTGTTTTCCCCACCCTATGGGCTAGAAGCAGAAAAGGCAGCTCCTGGGAGAAGGAGAATCAAGCAGGTGCCCAGAGGATCGGGGAGAGGAGAGGTTTTTCTAAATACACAGCCCTTCTGGGCCTTTGCCCTGCTGTGCTGCTCCCACCCCTGTCCTCACCCTGCAAGACCAGCTCTGCAGTCACCTCCTCAGCAAGGTCTTTCCCAAAACCTCAAGCAGGGCACCCCATCCTCTTCTGAGTCAGCCCCTCTCCTCTAACCAGTCACATCATCAAGGTTGGATTCTGTTTTCCAAAAAAACTGAGCTGCTTTTTAAAATATATATATTTCAGAGAGAAAGGGAGAGGGAGAGAGAGATAGAAACATCAGTGATTAGAGAGAAACATGGATGAGCCACCTCCTGCACTCCCACAACCTGGGCATGTGCCTTTGAACAGAATCGAACCCAGGACTCTGCAATCTGCAGGCTGACACTCTATCCACTAAGCTAAACTGGCTAGGGCTGAGCTGCTTTTTTTAAAAAAAAAGATTTTTTAATCCTCACTCGAGGATATTTTTTAATTGATATTGAGAGAGAGAGCCGTCGATGTGAGACAGCAATTGGTTGCCTCCCAAATGCCACCCAACTGGGAATCAAATAGTGAATGCATCAATAAGTGGGACAGCAAATAGATGTGTGGGTTTTTTTCCTCTCTCTTCCCCTTTCTCTCTTTCTAAAAATCAATAAATGAAGAAATAATTTTCAAAAATAGAAGAAAACTCATTGTCAAAATTCCCTTGGCAAAAAAAAAAATCTCCCTTCTAGTATTTCCAGTGTTTACCAATATGTACGTATACACACACACACACACACACACACACACACACACACACACACACACTGTGACAGCCAGGGGTCGGTGGGTCATGGCGATAGGTGGAGGAAGCGGAGCATCTCAGACACACGACTTCCAAGGGGCGACCAGGACCGAGCTCACCCACAGTGAAGTCTCCCACAGCAGGCCACTGGCCTCTGAAGACATCCCAGAGCTACTGCCCTCCTCTCTCCCCAGGGACCTGACCTCCCGCAACTCAGGCTGGCTGTCTCCAGCACAGACCCTGCACCAGCCGGGCCCTGGGGAAACAGCTGGAACCAAATGACTGCTAAATGGCCAGACCTCCCAAAGTAAGCAAAGGGAAGCCGAGAGGAGAGCCAGGACTGCCAGCATCCACGAGGGAGTTGGCCGAGGGCAGTGAGGCCTGGCCAGAGCCTGGGAACATGCTGCTCAGGGAGCTGGGGCTGCAGAGGGGCTGGTGTAAGAAAGAACAGGAGCTGGGGGACGGAACGGAGGGCAGGGCCAGGGCACCACTCAGATGGCCTGGATCACACTCTTTTCTGGGGCTTCCGGCATATATCTAGCTAAGGCTTAGAGGAGGTGCAGCATAGGTATATTGGGCGGGTGGATGGGTGGGTGGAAGGATGGCTAAACAAAGCAATGAATGCATCTATCGAAGGGTAATGAGTAAATAGTCCTGGTGCCTTTGAAGGTCAAGAACATTAAGGTGACTCAAGAGTGATAAAGATGTTCCCGCTCACTGAGCCCTCTTCCCATCCCTGTGAGTTTGCTCTAAGGAATTAATTCCGAGGAAGAAAACTGCTCTGGCCCCAAAGGGTTGCAGGAGATTCGCTTCTAACACAGCAAGACCAGAATGGCCTGCCTGAGCAATGACCTGAGGCTGAGGAGTAAATCGTAGGAAAACATTACGCAGCCATTCACGTGGTAGTCAGAACGACAGTGTAATAAAAATAAAAATAAAAAGTAACCACATTTTTAAAATATATTTTTATTGTTGGTAGTATTACAAATACACATTTTTAAAATAATATTGAGAAAATAATTTAAAACTTGTAAGCTTGGGGTTATTTAAAAGACAGGTGGAAAGGTGTTTTGGTGGAAAGCACAGCGCAGGCTGGGACATGAGATCAGCCTGCAGGGCCGCTGCCTCTCAGACCCGTCATTCAACATCTTTAGCCTCTGTTTCCGTATCTCAGAGGGGGGACAACAAGCAAACTCCATCTCCTGGTGGGAGGACCACGTTAGCTCTTCCATGTGAGGGGGCTTTGTAAACTGTGCAGCACATCACACATGAGTCAAAGTTACAGATGCCTCTGGGTGGAGAGCCGAAGGAGAGCCACATAAATACAGTTAGAACTGGTATTCAGGGAAATACAAACGAAAACGAAAACAACACACCGTTTCACCCCCTATCGGCTCGCCCAAACACCACCAAACACACACACACAGCTGAAAAGCACAGCGGAATGTCCTCCACACCTGACTGGACTGACCCTGAATCCTGTGGCTGAGGCTGCCTGGGCGTTGCTGTCCACCTCGATCGGGCCACAGACACAGCAGGTGGGACTGTGGGAGGGGCGCCCAGAGACAGAGGGCTCTGCTGTCCCCATTCCCCGGAAAAAGACTGATACATTCGCATTCACTGAGCAGGGAGCACCTGCCACGTGCTGGCACGCTCATGGTTGATGAGATGATAGTAAACACTTAGGCAGTGTTTGCTCTGAGCCGGGAACTTTATAAGTGCTTTTTATGTGTTAACTCAATTAGCCCTCATAACAGCCCATTGCGGATGATACAATTACCCATGCTGGACAGATGAGAACCCTGAGGTATAGAGATCACCCTGGGGCAGCTGGGAGAGCCGGGATCCCAAACCCTCCCCTTCTCACACTCTACCTGACTCGCCTGCTGCAGGCTCCGGACCCACCGTCAGGGTAGCAGGACTCTTTCTGGAGGACAGGTCCACCATGGGTCAGCATTTGGCCATGTTTCCCTGGGGAGCTGGTGTCTTTGGAGCTGGTGTCACTGGTGTCCAGTGAGCAGGGGGCCTGGCCTGGGCCAACCCTGGGGGCTCTTGCCCCCTCCTCTCTCTTCCCAAGAACCCTGCTCCCCCATCTCCAGGCCCCTGAGTTCTGATTTCTATACCCTGACCCGGCTCCCAACACCAGCGCTCTCTCCCTCCAAGTCTTCATTCCCAGGAGGGTGCCCATCCTCCAGTGAAAGGGCCGAGGGCCCAGGGTCACCTGCTGGGCGCTCGCTCCATGACCTGGACAAAGAGCTTACCTTGTCTGAGCCCCATTTCCTCATCTGTCTGTTCAAAGGACATATGTTTTATCCCTAGGTCTAACCACAGAGGGTTGTAGATGGGATGAGAAGGTAGCCTGAGGGGCTGTCACTCCAGCGTTCCCATCTCAGGTACGAGAGAGCCCTTGGCATGGACTGCACTCAGCTTTTTGGCAGGTAAAGGGAGGGCCCATGCTCTGGCTGGCTTGACTCAGTTGATAGTGGGTCAGTCTGCAGACTGCAGGGTCCTGGGTTCGATTCTGACCTGGGCACAAGCCTGGGTGGCGTGCTCAATCCCCAGTAGGGGGCATGCAGGAGGCAGCCGATCAATGATTTTCATCATGATGTTCCTCTCTCTCTCTCTCTCTTCCCCCCCCTCTCTCTCTTCCCCCTTCCTCTCTGAAATCAATAAAGAAATATACTTTAAAAAAAAAAAAAAAGAGGGGGGAAGGGTCCTAAAATCCCCAATAGCCCTAACTCACAGGACCCCAGAATTCAGTACTCAAGCAGTTATTCAGCTCCCACTGTGGGTGCAGATGTGTGTGTGCAAGTGCGTTGGGGCCAGGTGGGGAGAGGATGGAAATGGAAGCCCTAGGCAGGTGGTTCAAATACACAATGCATTGTCCACCAGGTACCTTTGACCGTGGCCTCTTTTGAGCGTGAACATGACCCCAACGAGTCAATAGAGTCATCCCTTTTTACAGATGAGGAAGCAGAAGTCATTTTGAACTTGTCCTTCCATGCTGCCCCCCTAGTCTAGTCAGGGTGGCTGAGAGCCTGGGGCCTGGGGCGGGAGGAGATGCTCTCTGGGGACCAGGGCTTGGCTGAGGCGGCCGGCCTGGGTGCCAGAGCCTCTCGGTTACTCACTGGCTGAGAATATGACTTAATCCCCACAGGCAATTCCACCAGGCACACGCGGAGATGAGAGGGCTGTGACACAGAAGCTAAAAGCCTCAATTACCCTTCGTGACAGGAACAGAGGACATATTTACGAAAAGAGAAGTTTTTGCCTCGTAAATCACACTTGCGAGGAATCAGGAATCAGCGGAGCTGGTGACAGCCAGAGGCAGCCTCTGGGCGAGAGGGGATCACCCGGCCTCACACCTGCTCATTAAACCCAGACCGTGTCCTGAGAGAGCACCTGGGCGTCAGCCAGGGCCAGGAGCGGGCCAGGGCCGGCAGCAAGCAGGGCTGGAGCTCAGGTGCATCCCGGGTTCCCAATCTTGGGGGCTCATAGCTATCCACTGTGGAAGTGCAAGGCTTGGGGGGGCTTTAAAAGACCCTGTCACCTGGGTCCCACCCCCAGAGATGGATGATGTCATTGTCCTGGTGGAGCATGGGAACTGGGAGCTTTAAAAGCCACCTGAATGATTCTGACAGACAGCCAAGGCTCAGCGCTCACGAGGCCTGACCCTGCCTGCCAATCGATGAATCAAACAGCGAGCTTTTAGCAAGTGCAGCCTGGTAGGGGGCCCAGAAATAGGCCAGCTTTCTATCTGGGCTCCTGCACCACGTTGCTGACTCCCATGCCCCACGGGCGACAAAGGCCCTGGAGGCGGCCTGCGCGCAGGACACGGTACCCGGGGAACAGCAGCTACTCCTGCTCGGGGCCCAGAGGCTGGATCTATTTTGGGGTTCCCACCCATGCACGCCAACGCTGCCCGTCCATGCATGCGTCCTCTGGGTCCTGCTTTCTTGCTCCCCTGCCCTTCACAGACGTTCCGGCTGCCTTCGCTGGCCGCCTCAGGCGCGCAGTGGGCACCAGCATGGCGCTGGGCGGGGGGCTCACACGAAGCAGGGGCTCAGGAGTCAACCAAGCTCCCCCAGCACAGAGCGCCCCTTACCTCTTCCCCAGGGGAATCCATCCGCGTGGTGAGCGGCCCCGGAGGGTGCGAGCAGAGACTCAGAAGGGCCTCGTGTTCTTTCCCTGGCGTTGCAGGCGGGCTCCATAGCTTTCTTGTTACTCTTGGATATTAATAAATAGTCCCATACTTTATTAAAATAAAAAAATAAAAAAATAAACCTGCCCCTAACCATTTGACTCAATGGATAGAGCATCAGCCTTGGGACTGAAGGGTCCCAGGTTCCATTCTGGTCAAGGGCATGTATGTTGGTTGCAGGCACATCCCCAGTAGGGGCGTTCAGGAGGCAGCCGATGGGTGTTTCTCATAGAAGTTTCTAACTCTACCCCTCTCCCCTCCTCTCTGTAAAAAATTAATAAAATATTTTTTAAAAAGTCTAGCTCAGGCCGAAACCGGTTTGGCTCAGCGGTAGAGCGTCGGTCTGCGGACTGAGGGGTCCCAGGTTCGATTCCGGTCAGGGGCATGTACATTGGTTGCAGACACATCCCCGGTGGTGGGTGTGCAAGAGGCGGCTGATTGATGATTCTCTCTCATCGACGTTTCTGGCTCTCTATCCCTCTCCCTTTCTCTCGGTAAAAAATCAATAAAATATATTTTAAATAAATAAATAAATAAATAAATAAATAGTCTAGCTCAGTTGAATAGCAAAACCTCAGACTCTCACCTGATTTAAATGTCGACCCTCCTGCCTCCAGGCAGATCAGTCCTGGGGTGGCTCAGGGTCAGGTGCGAGGGTGTCCAGCTGACCCCGGGGAAGATTCCATGGGCTCAGCCTCCTCACGCTGGGGGTCCTGGCCTTGACAATGTCTTCTGCTAAAGTGACAGCACAATCCCTGTCCAACATCTGGCTCTTTACACAATATTCAGACCTTGATGGTGTTTGTTTTCTAATAAAAGCGTTTAAGTATATGAATGTTCATCAGAGTGCAGCTCGTGTTATTACATGAACATGTATTGCTCTCCCCACCTTTCAATAATAACAAAAGTCATATGGGCTCATTGTACAAGCCATACAACCCAGCAATGCATTCATTAAATCCTTCAGCACATAGTTATCTGGTGCCTTCTGTATGCCTGACAAGGTTCTCAGCACTATGGGTACATCAAGAAACACATTAGATGCAGACCCTGCACTCAGGTTCCAGTTTATCGGGGCGTCAGGTAGACACTAGCGATTATGATGTCATGTGATGCAGGAAGATTTAAAAATGCAACCCAAGTCACATGTCATCGCACAGCCCAGAGGTGGTTTGCCTTTTAGTGATGAGTTTCAGGTGTCAGTGTCATTGTTATCACACACAGCATTGGACGGTGACTATTTTCCCATAGCAACAAATATTTTCCAACCAAATGATCTTAGCATTCCAAAGTGTGCATGAATCACAGATATCTTAATCATGGCATCTTCAAAGCTGACGCATTCATGACGGGCTCTTCCTCTGTGGGTGTGTGAAGCGGATAGGAAAGTCAGGATGTGTGGAAGCTAATTGGCCTTCCCTTTCGAATGGCACACACGCATTTGGAAGATTCAGTGCAAGATTCAGCCCCGGCCCTCCACGTGAAGCCCCTGAAAAGCCACCCCTCCACCGACAGGTGAGAGTTCAGAGACACAGAGAACTTGTGTGCCCAGGTGGCCTGTGGGTGGCACCATCAGGGCTCCGATCATGAGGGTCAAGCTGCACCACCCCCAGAACCTTGTAGCCAGGTCTCCTCTGCTCTCTCTGGATTCCTGAGTTACTTGAATAATTGCTTTGATCTTTTCAGTAAAACTCAAGGTGGAGAGAATCAATGGGAAGCTTTTTTTTTTTTTTTTTTTTTTTTAATTCTCACCAGAGGATTTTTTTTTCATTGATTTTTACTTATTTATTTTTAAAGTATATTTTATTGATTTTTTTTTACAGAGAGGAAGGGAGAGGGATAGAGAATTAGAAACATCAATGAGGTAGAAACATCCATCAGCTGCCTCCCACACACCCCCTACTGGGGATGTGCTGGCAACCAAGGTACATGCCCTTGACTGGAATCGAACCCAGGACCCTTGAGTCCGCAGGCCAACGCTCTATCCATTGAGACAAACCGGTCAGGGCTCCATTGATTTTTAGAAAGAGGGAGTGAGAAAGAGAGACAGAGAGAGGCATGGATTGGTCCCCATCCCCACCAGGGCCAGAGATTGAACTTGCAACCCAAGTATGTGCCCTTGATGGGGAATCGAACCTGCAACACTTTGGTGTGCAGATCACTGCTCTAACCACTTAGAAACACTGGCCAGGACTGGAAGTTCTTTTTAAGGGGAGACATTGTATTCCTTGGAGGTGCAATGCTGGACTATTTAACACCTTTTTAATTCCAAGGATGCATTTGGCTCAAACTCCCTTTCCTCAACTGCAGCCAAACTGCTGCTGAATTTCAACTTTATTTAAACTTTGGGGGAGTCTGGTGCGTGTCTTCAGCTGGGAGAGGTTTTTTTCCCCTTCCTTTTAATCAGCTCATAAGTCAATGAGCGGTTTGGGCAATAAAGTTCATAGTTGGAGAAACCAAACACTAAATCACCATCCACATTCACACCCAGGGAGGACAGGCTCAGCTTTCAAGAATTCGGTGTTTGTCTTGGAGAAAACCAAGAGCCTAACCGTAGCCAAGGGAAAGAGAGCAAATGCTGCCGCTCGGCCCGGAGCTGCTCCCCTGCGAGCACGGAGCGGCGTTAGGAGAACCAGAACACAGTCACGCACACGGTCAAAGGACGTTTCTGTGCCGTGTTGCTGGTCGGAAGGTTCTGATCTTGCATTGCCCTACAGGATGTTGAAGTGAATTCATGAAACCATCTGCTGACGGCACCCTCTGTGATTCCGTGTGGTTGTCATTCTCAAGTGATTCCCTTGTGGGTGTTTAATTTTTCCAACTACACTTTGAGCTTCAAGCAGGAACCTGTGGGACTTGGGGTTTGGTTTGTTTTAACATCACCCAACCACCCAGGCTCTTCACACAGGCTCTGCTTGTGATGAGATTGAGGGGGAGAGGCAGATGGGACGGGGAGGGGGGGGGTTATAACATCAAAAGTTGTCGTTCTAGTCCTAACTGGTTTGCTCAGTGGATAGAGCGTCAGCCTGCAGACTGAAAGGTCCCGGGTTCGATTCCGGTCAAGGGCATGTACCCTGGTTGCAGGCACATCCCTAGTAGGGGTGTGCAGGAGGCAGCTGATCAATGATTTTCTCTCATCGATGTTTCTAACTCTCTATCCCTCTCCCTTTTTCTCTGTAAAAAAAGTTAATAAAATATACTAAAAAGAAAAACAGAAGTTGTGGTTCTAGCCTCAGGACACGGAGCAGGCCCCTTAACTTCTCTGAGTCTTGGGTTTCTCATCTGCCAAATGGGGACATCCAGGTCGGCCATGTTTAACATGTCTCATTAAATACAGGGTGCTGGACTGTGAAAGGTGATGTGAAGTTAGCTATTATCTTTACTGTTAAATGCTAATGAGCCACACAGAGACTTGGGTTGTATTTTGAAGACTGTATGTTTCATTTCACTTTCTTCTTGGCAAGTTCCCGAGGAGAAAGCGTTACAGGACACTTCTGGAGCTGAAGAATGAACTATCCATTGGGAGAGCCTAGCACTGGACTAGATTTCTTCTCTTACCTGAAGATCTGTTTATTCCACCACAAGTCTGAGAGGTGAGGAATGTAATTAGCCTTTTTCGGATGGGCAGGCAGAGGCTCGGAGTCCGTTTGGGTGATATTCTTTCTCCAGGTCAGCCAGCTAAGCAGAAGTCACAGGGGTATGCTAGTAAACAGACTCTCTGAGGGGGAAAAAAAAAAAAGCCTTGGTTTTTTTATTTGTAAGGCTTGCCAATTGCTGCGGTATAAATACTCCCCACTCCCGTCTTTCCGCGCCCCTGCTCCCCGTGGCTGATTCACACTAACCTGTAAGAGCTATAGCTGCAGCACTACTGGATCAGTAGCATCAGGAAGCAAACATTTTAGGTAAAGACCATTTCCTGAGCCCATGCCTGAGATGCTCTCTGAAAACAGAGAACCCCCTCGCATCAGGGAGGGAGCAGGGCTGCCTGAATCACCTGGGGCTCCCCCCCCAGCCCTGCTTAGCCAGACCCTCTGGAGCAGGGCCTAAAGGCCTGCCTTCCAATCACAGACCTGGACCTGCACTGAGTTCAGGTACGCCCAGCCCTCAGCCAGCAAGAAGCTGATCAGTCCAGTGACCCCCAAATGCCCCTCCCATTCCTTCTCCCAAAGGTCTTTAAAATTATACGGTTTTCCGCCAAATCTAAGATTGCTCTGATTGTAAGCCTCACCGTTATTTCATTTACCACCAGGGGGAAAAGTGTTGCCAAAGTAAAGATGTTAAAATATGAAAGAGTACATTTTAGAATCGGTGACATATTACACATGTGAGTGCACATACACTCGTATCTCTCTCAGGTTCACAATAGCCCATTAAATATTCTCTTCTTTGAGGGTGAGACTGGGTCCCATTCATCTCTAAGTCCTCAGAGACCCATCAGGCTTGGTGGAATGAAGACATGCCCAACAGCATATCACTGTATACAATTTATGTGCCAACAGCATATCAATATATACAATTTACATGTCCAACAGCATATCACTATATACAATTTACATGCCAACAGCATATCACTGTATACAATTTACGTGCCAACAGCATATCAATATATACAATTTACATGCCCAACAGCATATCAGTATATACAGTTTTTTGATTAATTATCAATAAGTGCCCCAGGTTCCATGCCAATCATTTACACTTAGTCCACACAATAATCCTGTGAAATAGTCACCAGATTGTCCCCAACTTACAGAGGAGGTAAGTGAGGCTTTGTGAAGCCTGGACCTTGGACCCCAGGCCTGAGACTCCTGACCATCCTCGCAGTACTGGCTCGTTTTTCAGTGGTTTCCTGGTGCCTTATTGTATGAGAATGTGTGTTGTGAGTGGAAGGGACTTCTCGTGGCCATTTGGTTCAGGGAGACGTGAAGATGAGTCAGCCTGTGTCGTTGCCCTTGTAAAGGATCGTGTGGAAAGGAGGGAGTCACATCCAGTCAAGAAGACTGCGCAGTTCTGCTCTGCGCTCTGGAATAC